TACCTCTCATCTTTGTCACTGTGCTCCCGAGCACACCTGGAGGCATTTACATTTGCTGTTCCCTCTGCCTGGAATGCTCTTCCTCCAAATATCCATTTGGCTGTTCCCTTAACTTCCTCAAGTCTTTACTATCACCTCCTCCAGGAAGCCTTCCCTGACTACCCTGTATAGAGCAGTCACACTAAACACTTCCCGCCCCCTCCCACACATCACTTCTTATGTTAAGATTTGCATATCTGCTGAATGTAAACCTCAGGAAGGCAAGGACTTTGTCTACCTGCCTGGCACCACGAAGCCACTCAGTAATCATGAATGGATAGAGGTGGGAGAGAGGGGGTACGGCAGGTGGAGGTGGGGGGGGCAACTCAGGGAACATGGGGCCCCAGTAGAGCTGGGAGCAGGTAGGAAGGGAAGTAAGTTCTTGAGTGGCTCAGTGGAGAATAATTAGGGAGATACAAGAATCACTGAACCCCAAGGTTGAGCCACTGAAGTGCCAGGAACCTTCCCCCAGGATTCCAGTGAGTGAGGATTGAGGGAACATAAGAGAGAATGAAAAATGGGGGATTGCCAGGCTAGAGAAGAGATACCACCCTGATGAGACCCTGCCTGTCCTTCCACAGGCCCCCTGGGTAATAGAGGGCAAGCGCCCTCCGCCAGGCTGGCCCCAGCACGGGGAGGTGGAGTTCCGGGATTACTCTGTGCGCTACAGGCCCGAGCTAGACCTGGTGCTGAAAAACCTGAGCCTGCACGTGCGCGGGGGCGAGAAGGTACCGTGTGGCGCGTGGGTCAGAGCATGTTCCTGCCTGGTGGGGTATGCGGCTCTGGCCTTGGGGGCAGTGTGGGTCTTTGAGAGAGCAGGTGCTCTGGCCCTCATCTGGGGGTGTCCTAGAGATGCCCTGTGACCTCTCAGCTCCCCACTGACATCCCCTTCCCCACGCGGCCAGGTGGGGATCGTGGGCCGCACTGGCGCTGGCAAATCATCTATGACCCTCTGCCTGTTCCGCATTCTGGAGGCAGCAGAGGGTGAAATCCGCATCGATGGCCTCAACGTGGCAGATATTGGCCTCCATGACCTGCGTTCTAAGCTGACCATCATCCCCCAGGTACGAGCCTGACATGGACTGGCCACACTGAACAACGACCCTGGGGGCAGCCACCACCCATTCTGTAGTTTGAGGATGGGGAGTGGACCCTGGGTTTTGAGGCTTTGGGGTGCTGCATGGACAGTAGGGAGTAAAGCCACCAGGCAGCCACCACAAGCACAGATCTGGAAGGGTCAGACATCCTTGCTCAGTTAGGCCCTGCCCTTTG